TTGTCTCATGTTTAACTCCTTTTGATCAAAGACTCTTATGGTCACTAAAAATCTCAAACCTCGAACCATACAAGTAATGTCTCCATAATTTTCTTGAACATAAATAATTCAAGTGTAAAAACCAATCAAATAACTTAACCTTCTAATAATTCTCCTTAACCAAGCCACAACCCTTGGGTTAGGTCAACATCTATTTCATTTTTATCTATATTTAATAAAATATAAATAACCTAATATACACATACTATATATTCATATTTTTAGAAAAGCCCTTCTTAATTTAAATAAAACATCTACCGGAGTACCTTTATTACGTTCAACTTTCTAAGTATGCCATATTTGTCTGAGTTTATGTCAATTGTTGTTGTTTTCTGAACTTGTCTTTATGAATACACTTAAGAAAACTCAATAGTATGTAGACTTTAACATAGAAGCCTTCCCTTATGATTTTCTTGTTTCGTAGATTTATCATAAATAAAACACAAGGGTTTTTGGACTTAACATAATAATATAGGTATCGCTAATTTTTAGTCAATAACTTTTTATATTCACTTAAACGTATTTAGATTTTGTTTAGTTTATGAGGACTTCTGACGTGTATTTTAATGATGACTAAGTTAACCGTATGGTTATAACAAAGTCTCTATTTTCTCCCATATGTACCATATATAGTTTCCTTATTAAAACGATTTCTTTTTCTGTAGATACAAAAAATAAAATTAATTTTCCCATTTATCCAAAATATGGGTTCTTATGCGTCTCTAGCTTTGTACTGGGCATTATTTCTTTTATGGTATGTTTGACAATTGTTCTCCTTTAGTTATTTATAGGTTTGTTTATTTATAATATTAATAAAGAAGATATATTTTATTTTAGTCTTCACACTTTTTACCATAACTAATTTATTTAACTACCTTTTTTTGTCTTTTCACTAATTTTTTTTTAACTACTACCATTATTTTTAACAGTTAAATGTCACTACAAGAATGTTTCAATTTAAAGTCAGCCAAAAGCCGACTCTAAATCATAAAAACCGACGTAATATTGTTGGTTATTCGTCGGTTTTTGGCTGACGTTAAATAGTCGACACAATTTTTTTTGTGTCGGCTAAGCCGTTACTAATAAATTTATTTATTTTAATTTTTTATTGTCGGTTAAACCGACACTATGTTGACACAAAATTTATTTTATTTTTTTCTTTATCTTATTTTTCCAGCTTATCATTTATTCGTTCGTACTTTTAACATTCCTTGGACTCGATCTGTGAACCTTGAGGTCTTAAGTGAACTTGATAACAAAGTGTACTATAACAGATTATGCGTATATAACATTGAAAAAATTATCTTTATCTCTCTCAAAGCACGTATACTATTAGAAAAGCTTACGCTATTTTAAGATGTAGCGTCGGCTTTTTCGACACTAAAACGTTGGCTTTTTCGACACTAATTTAATTTAAATTTAAATTAAATTAGTGTCAGAAAAGCCGACGCTATATTTAAAGAATAGCGTCGGAATAGCGTCGGCTTTTCCAACCCTAAACTTAAAATATTTAATTTAAATTTATTTTAAGTTTAGCGTCAGAAAAGCCAACGCTACATCTTAAAATAGCGTCGACTTTTTTGACACTATTTGTGTCAGCTATTAACCAACGCTTATTTTCTGCCGCTTATTCACCGTTTTCTTGTAGTGACTAATAGTGCGACAACCGATATGAAAATGGGAACAGAATCCATGTTTCTACAATGGCGCCGTAGAGCAAGAAAACAACAAGAATCATCAATCATTATGGATTTCTCAAAAATGGATGAAGGTAATTATTATTTAATAATTTTAAATTTGCTATAGTTTTGGTTACTCAATTATCCGTATTTGAAAATCGATAAATGTTTATGTTGAATAAAGACATTTTTTTTACTTTAATTAAAAATCATTATCTCTCAATTTTCAAGGAGTTTTCATGTTAATTTATAATTAATCATCAACAAATTATAATTAACCATCTCTTTTGTCTCATGTTTAACTCCTTTTCATCAAAGACTCTTATGGTCACTAAAAATCTCAAACCTCGAACTATACAAATAATGTCTCCATAATTTTCTTGAACACAAATACAACTATATATACCTAACTTTATGCTTGGGTAGGTAGTTCTTCTCATGGTCTTTCAATTTTCTAGATGCATAGGCTATTACTTTACCCCTCTACATAAGCACACCTCCTAAATCCATCTTAGAGGCATCACAGTATGCTACAAAGGTTTCATTAGTGTCAGGTAACACTAAGATAGGTGCACTAGTTAACCTTCTCTTAAGCTCTTGGAAATTCTCTTCACACTCAGCATCCCACACAAAAGCTTGGTTCATCCTAGTCAACTTTGTTAAAAGCAATGATAATCTAGAGAAATTCCTTATAGGTTGGATCTGCTACTATACCTTCATTAGATATGTCATTTCCTAGAAAACTTATATGCTCTAACAATAATTCACATTTGGACAAATTAGCATAGAGCTGTTTGTCCTTAAGGGTTTGTAACACAACACTCGAATGCTTAACATGTCATCTTATGAAGGATTCTCCTAACAATAAAAGGCTATAGGGCCATTAATATGTGTTCCTCACAATAGGTGGTTCTATAGTTCTAAAACAGGTTTCTAGAGCCAATAACCCCTTTTTAGAATATCAATCACAACAATAGGTAAACTATTGGAAGTGATATTTTCGTAGACTATTTTCTAATTTATGGTTTTTCCAATGTTTTTCTGTAAAAAACAACATTGGTGGCGACTCCATATTTTTCAACCAATTTTTCTTCGTCCCGTCGCTATATCGGTTGCGACAGATGGCGACTCCACTGGGAAAAATTTTGAATATTATAAATTAATAAGGTAATTTCATTTTTTTTCTCTTGTAAAAATTGAAGGAGATGACTAAAACACACTAATTAAGTATGTTTAAAATGATTGAAGAAAATGACTAAAATATAGTAACTAATTAATTAAGTCAAAAATAAGTATTAAACAAATAAAAAGAGTAAGATGATAAATTATGCTAATTATTAACAAATTTAATAACTTCTATTAACTAAATTAATTAATTAATTAATTTTTATGAGTTAATAGTGTCTTTTATATACTTTTTCTGGTTTCGAATATAAGGAAAAAACTAAATTTATTCTAATTGTGAATGTTATTTAACATCATTTAATTCACTCATTCCGTTTAAAAATAACATTTTCCCAAGTCATCCTTCCTTCATACATAATATTAAGAATAAAAATCATCATTAGTTATAATCAATGATATTTTAAAAATAGTAGCATATTATATATATATACCTTATCAAGAACAGTTCTCCACAGTTCGCCATTATTGTACTTTTTCTACTTTCCTGTTTTGTCCTTCAATAATGAGGTGTTTTATACCCTCTATTTTAATTTAGGATCTTATAATTTGCCTATATAAGGAGAAGTTCTCCTACTTTGTAGAGCATCGAGTGTTTTAAGCTTGTAAAATAACGCTTGCAATAAAAGAATTCTCTTTGAGTAACTATCTCCTTCAAATCTCCTCTCTTTGTAAGTGTTTTCTTATAAACTTTGATATTATTCTTCTATCATAATACTAGTAGCATATTATATATATATATATATATATATATATATATATATATACTTTGATAAAGAGATATAACTCTTTAATATTAGATTGATCATTCTATAGGAGTATAATGATATTTCTAATCGAGATTTTGTCATTTTTTATTCTTACACCAAAAATATATGGGTAGAGATTCACTTATCTCAAGAGTAAATCTTGATAAACTTACTTTATTTAATAACTAGTATTTTACATTAAAATTTAGCAAGTTAACCATTAAATTAGAAGTTCTTAATGTATAGATCAATTGTACAAATTTTTACAAAGTTGAAAATTTCATATGATACTTCATTATTTATGTTTAAATTAACGTATAAAATGCTTTTAATGAAAAGGAGTAACAAATAATTTTCAAATTTTAAAAATAAATTGTAAACTTAATCTACATAATAAAAACTTTTAGTTTAACAGTGAAATTGGTAAAATTTAATGCAAACTGTGAATTATTGAGTGAAGTAAGCGAATATCTCTCTTATCAAATCTATTTTTTTAAAGTTTAAAAATCATATGATATGTTGTTTCATTAATTCATATTAAGAAGATAATCATAAAAGTATTTTTTTTATGTTGATTTGAGTTTATATAACAAAGTATCACATGATTTTCAAGTTTTGTTTTTAAAAATTTGTAAACTTGATCAATGAATTAAAAACTTTTTAATTTAACAGTTGAATTGTTAAAATTTAAAATATAACACGAGTTATTGAATAGAATAAGTCTATTAAGACTTCCTCTTTTTGTTTGAGGGAGAGGAAGGAATAGAAGATAATAAGAGAAAATAAGTGAGAATTGATTTGATACGAAATAAATAAAAAATAAAGTGTTATAAAATAAAATTTGTAATTATTTAATAGACTGAAATTAAGTAACAAATAAAATAAAATTAGTATTTACAACTATTATTTTATCCTTACTTTATAATATAATTTGAATTAATAATTTTTACATTATGTAATTTTATACATTTTTTAAATTTTACGAAAATTTCCTCAATGAAAAGAATATAAAAAATGATGTAAGGTCCACTTTTAATTCTTCGCAATTCTCCTTAAATACTCTTTACTAAATACAAATATTTTTTTAAAATTTATTCTAATCCATTCCTCTCCCTTTTAAATCATTTTCACTAAAGTAGACTTAGAATAAATGCATCCGACTCCATATATGAGGATAGTATCCGAATTAGGTTATGTGTGTGACAGTTAATGTGCGAAAGTGAAGAAGTTCTATTAATTGAAAACATGACGTGGCTACAATGACACGAAATGGTAAGCGGTGGGGTTTGGTTTTTGTTGGTTGTTAAACGCATCAATTGTTCCAATGTGAAAGCGTGCTTGGTCTATATATGTTGTGTTACCCACCCTTCTTCAAACCACAGAATCACTTGTGATTGTAACAAAAGAAACTTCTTGAACACTGTTTGATCTTGCTGCATACAAAGCATGGCCTCAAGGCCTGGAATCCTCACAGATTGGCCATGGAAGCCTCTTGGAAGCTTTAAGGTTGTCCACAGCTCCCCCTTAGTTATTACTACTTCAAATTTCTTTATGTCTCTCTATAAACAATTAATGGCTATTACTTTTCATTCATGCATCCACTCACCCACACTCATCATAGTCATAGAAAGATATTCAAAATTGAATAGCATGCACATTGCTCTCATTGATTTTATAACAAAAAAAGAAGAAGAATATATTATACGTGCATGAAAGAGTTTTTTCCTATGGTTTTAATCACATCAATTTAGAATGATTACTACTTTCTCTATTTTGTGTTATACGAAAAAAATAACTGGATTTGCGTATATTAAGAAAATTTACTATTTATATTAAATTTTATTAATATAATATTATTCTTTTCAATTTGTTCTTGTTATAAATATAAACAAATAGTATAACTGAAAAATTATATATCAAAAAATGATATTTTAGTGAGAGTATTATTAAATAAGATAAAAATAATTAAAATTTGTTTATACTTAAAAATAAAAAATAAAATGTATTTTTATTGTTTATAATAGAAAGCGGATAGTGTATTATTATAAGGCTCAACTAAATAAACTTACTTATGAAGCGTACTAAATATGCCCCACCCATGGTTTAATTACAATCAAATCATGATGTTAATTTGTCAAAATCAAGGATAATTACGAATTTGTACATTAATACGAGGAACTCACTTTCAAGGTGCACTAATTCAATCCCATCCTCCATTATAACAATTTCAATGACAAACGTTGTACCTACGAGACGATCGATGCATTTTGGTAAAATATACCCCTTAATTAATTTATATATTTAAATTTAACAATTGTAAGCAATGCTTATTACATTTTATGACATGCCAAATTGATCGCAAAGTTGTAACGTATAAACGATCCATAAATTTATAAAATATATATGTAGCTTTTAGTTCCAATTGTTTTAGTGGTAACAATTAATGAAGACATGAAGTGCTGTTTAATTTTGCAGTATCTGTTGGTAGCTCCTTGGGCCATTCATAGCTTCTATTCTCTGGTGGTGGAGGAAAAGAGTGAAAGAAGGGACATAAGCACCTTTCTCATATTACCTTTTCTGCTTTGGCGTATGCTTCATAACCAGATATGGATCTCTCTCTCCCGTTACCGAACTGCTAAAGGCAACACTAGAATTGTTGACAAGGGGATTGAGTTTGATCAAGTTGATAGAGAAAGAGATTGGTTAGTTGTTTCATTCATATAGGTTTACATGTGCTTCTTACTTTGTTTTTTATCTGATGATAAACAATTTAAATATAACATATATATAGGTGCTAACAATAGTCACATAGTTCTTTTGGTTGAGGCATTACTATTATAAGTGCTAATCAACTATTCTATGATTGAAAGGAATGTTTTTAGTCTTTTAAATTTAAAATTGATTTTTTTAATTTTTATAATTTTAAAAATTTTATTTTAATTTTTATATTCAAAATTTATTGAAAAATTTATCAAATATTATAACATAAAATTTATCTACTAATTTTAAGTAAAAATATTGTATTAAATTTAATTTATGATCTATCCCTTTTAAATATATTATCAGTAAGATAGAAATTAAAAATATATTATTTAAAATTACAAGAACTAAAAATAGCATGATTAAAACACATTAGTTTTTTCATGCAAGTTTTCTCTAAAAGTGATGAGTCGTGTTACTATTTTCAATGGTGTACGACTGTACTCTTTCATGATATATGTAGCTCTTATAAAATTTCAATACCAGTATAAAAGGTTTTTTATTATTATTTATATATAAGTATTTTATGAACAAATGATACATGAGAATCTTTTGTTTTTTTGTTTTTTTTATAAGTAAGGGACAATTTTGTTTTAAGATTTAAATTAATCTTCTGTTAGGATCCAACCAATTCAATGTTTGTATGTTTTATTTGTTGAAATACAAAGTCTTACATCATTAGATAAAAAAAAATTTATAAACACACGATCTTTTATTAATTTAAATTCCTTTTAAGTGATGACAAAAAAAATAATTCATAAAAATTTAAGTTAAAAAGAGATAATATACACATACGTTTAAGCCATTAAATTACTTAACAAAGATAATTGAGTACGAGGTGACTTCTTTACTTCATAAGGACCCACTGTGTGAGTGTTTCCTTCTCAGCTTCATCACTCCTGATATTTTACTCATGATATTTTCAATTCTGAAGTTTTCTTTTAAATTGTTTCACTCATTAATTAGGACAGTTGAATTAACCCGTACAATTATCATTGTTTAAATTCGATATTTTTTATTTTGCGTGCACTAATCTATGAATTACCCACTAAACAAAGATTCTGGTCCATGTCTGAGTGCTAGAACATTTTGGTGAAAAAATAGTAATAGATCCATAGTAATGTTTTTTATTTTTATTTTTAAATCCTCACCTCAACCAACTATCTCAGAACAAAGATACTGAGAATGTAGCTGTTATTATAATTTGTTAGTAACGAGTACAAGAGGTACTGAGAATAGTACACCAGAAAATCAAAAAAAAAAAAATATATATATATATATATATATATATATATTTACCTTGGAAAGTTTTGGTTTAAGTTGTATATATATTTCACTTGAAGGGTGTAATCTCATTACTAGGACCCTAAAACTTTGCACCAAAAAGAAGAAAAAAAAAAAAAAAACCTAACACGCTTTGATTAGGAAGGGAATTTATGTGAGAGAAATATTAATCATTAATGGGTGAGGCATACATGTGAAAGTCTTTAATTTGGTCCAAGGGAGGAGGGAGAGGAATTGTGGATATTCTTTGAATTTAGTTAATTTTAATGTTAAATAATCTTTTATTTAATATAAAGTTTAAAATGTAAGTGTATTTTATGCAGCTGTTCATTTATTTTTGTATTTTCTTTTTTTACTATTCTTATAACTAAGTAAAGACAGTTGTTTCTTTTTTTTTTTTTTAAATTTTTTTTTTCACCTTGAACCTTTTTTTTTTTTCATTACATCACACATTATATTCTTCCTTCTTCCAAACATTATATTTGCAGGATGTCAAAATCATTTGTCCTTTGGTAACACTTGTACATAAAATATATTTTAAAAAATGTAGAAATGAAGAAACTATTAGATGTGATCTCAAATCACATGATCATACATAATCAGGAGTTATTAATTTCTTTTTATAAATTAAAAAATTTAAATAAATATCATATAATGATTGAACAAGACCATAATCACATAATTAATCCAGAACTATCTAATAATCACTTGTCATAGAGTGACACACATATAATATGTATTACTAAAAATTACTTTTAACTATATAATAAATATAATATATATTGATATATTGTTAAAAAGTATGGGTATATAAAATTATAGTGACATACAAAATAAATCTCATTCAAAATCAGTACTAAAACTATGTGTAACTATATGTCAAATAGATATATATCTACATATATTATACTTATAGTGACATTTTTTGTATGTATATATATTTAACATTTTTTAAAGTGAATTCTACAAAGAAAAGGTAGATTCATTTTTCATTTTTACATTGTTATTTAGGTTAACTTAACTTGCTAGTTAATTGAATAGTGGATTTTACATTCTGTTATGATCTTGCAGGGATGACCAAATATTGTTCAATGGGTTACTATACTACTTGGGATGCTACACAATACCCGGTGCAACTCATCTTCCACTGTGGAGAACCGATGGAGTAGTAATGACAATATTACTTCACATGGGACCAGTAGAGTTTCTTTATTATTGGTTACACAGAGCACTTCATCACCACTTTCTCTACTCCAGATACCACTCTCACCACCACTCTTCCATAGTCACTGAACCTATAACGTGTGAGTCATCACCTTCATTAATTGCATGCATAATTCAAAGCTAGCTACCAACCATTTTAGTCTGCATTTAATGCATGCAATTTATTGTCCAGTGTACGTCAGCACTGTCTGTGATTCCACAGAAATGCATTGCAGACTGCATAATTATTATGCTATAGGGCCACGTGTAACAGTAGTACTGGTGGTGGTGGAGATTCGTTTCAATTTTGAAACTATAATTTGACTTCAATGATATAACATATGACGAATATATATAATATATTCATAGGTTGGGTGGCTTTACATAATTAGACGTACATATAAAGTAACTTGATTGCTTAAATTTATTGTATTTAATTTTGACTATGATATCGTAGTTAATTAGTAGTACTAAGTTTGGTTCTTTTCAAGTTTAGGGTTTACTTGTCTTGTAGTTTATGTTGTTTAACTATAATAATACTGTATGTATCCCACTACCTTGGTCTGCTGTTTAGATAATTTACGTGAATTTAGATTTTAATTTATAAATATTATCTGCATGACATTAAGGAATTTTACACTATGTCCAGGATTCCAGGAGGTAGAATTTTGATTTCTGATTTTGTTTTCTTTTACTTACACGAATTATATTTTTGAGGATATGATATTAATTAAAAACGTGGTCAAATATATACCAAGATTGTTTGTTTTATTGTTAACTTTTAAGAAACTTTCTGTTTGTATTTATTTCTTATATTAAAAATTAAAAATAATATTAATTTCTTTTGTTAATTATATACTTATCAAGAAAGAGAAGAAAAAAAAATGTCAAAGTAATTAATAAAGGAGAAAAACAATATAGTATAAAATAAAAATAAAAAAATAATATAGATGAAGAAATTAGTTATTATTCTTAATCTATATAATATAAACAATAGATTAAAGTAACAAATGAAGTGTCTTAGCTAGAATGCATACTACTTTCTAGTTTAAAGGGAAAAAATGTGTTTATGTATGCACTCCATAAATCTCACACCATATTATTTAAACATACAATTTAAGTTAAATTAATCTTACAATATTTTCTATCACAATTTTTAATTTTTCCTTTACATCCCTCGTATATATCTTATTGTATATTTTACTCTGCTTTTTTTTTTCTTTCTATTTTTCTCTTGTATTAAAAATTATTGTATAAAATTAAACAAAATACAATAACTCTGAACCTAGTTGTGTAAAACAGAAACATATAGTTGAGGACCACCACATGGGTCATTTTGTACTTATATCACTACAACAAAATTTAGTATTACCAACAATATTTAATGGCAATAAATTAATTGTCTCTATTTTATTATTTAATAAAAATATTAATGACTATTATATAATGACTACTAAAAATGTATTTACATCACATCAAAATTTACTATTAGCGATAATTATTTGTTAGAAAAAACTTAAGTCCCACATCGACTATAAATAAAATAATTAAAGAGTATATAAGTGAATGATAACTCTCACCTTACAAGTATGTTTTATAAGGTTGAGTTAGGCCTATAACTTACTATTCTAAGTTAGTATTTAGGAGATAAGATAATTACAAAAATTAAAGAATATATATTTAGAAGATAACCTTCATCTTCTAAGTCCCACATCAATTAGAAATAAAGTAATTAAAGAGTATTTGTACTTATCTTACAAGTCCTACATCGACTAGAAATAAGATAATTAAAGAGTATTATAAATCTTTTCTTAAACTTTTAGCGGTAATTTTAAATACTAGTATCAAATGACACAAAAAGTTATACACTTTTCTTGATCATTATGAGGGTATTTACTAGCATATAGAATAATTGCCGGCAAATATTTTAGCGACACTGCATACAATGACTAATGTGTGAAATGCCGGTAAAAGATTTTGTAGTAATTTTTATTATCACTAAAAGTCATATTAAATGCTACTGAAACTCCATTTTATTGTAGTGTATATTCCATGTGCAAATTAATGAACACTTTCCGCATGGGTAGCTGTAGTATTTAATTCTATTCATAGTGCATTTGCTAGATATGAGCCCAGCAAATTAATTTTGGTCACTATATTTCTTTATCTAAGATTATATTAATTCTCTTGGTGCAGCTGTGATCCATCCATTTGGTGAACACATATTATACTTCCTTCTCTTTGCAATACCCAAGTTAACTATAGTCTTCACAAGAACAGCTTCTGTTGGAGCCATGGTTGCATATGTCACTTACATTGATTTCATGAACAATATGGGTCATTGCAACTTTGAGGTGGTCCCCAAGTGGCTCTTTGATGTCTTTCCTCCACTCAAATATCTGATGTACACCCCATCGTAAGTATTTATAATTATTAAAGTACAAAAGAATTATATATATTATCAACTATGGTAAATATTTATAATGGAGTTTAGTTTTTATGCATTTTTAGAACAATTAATTATATAATAGATATAAAATTTAAAATATTTATTATAAAAATTAATACTATTCAGAATAATTTGTGATTGTATAATAATAGAAAAAATATATACAATTTTTTTTTACTTTTTTATTATCATATATACATATATAGTTACTTACATATTATACGCACTGCTTTATATATATATTTTATGAGTTAAGAAAAGGGAAAGGGTATTTAGTAATCAGCGTACATGCGAGGTAAGAGAAATTAATCCTACTATTAAGTTTATATAAAAGTTTTTTTTTATTAATATGAATTATTATGCAAATAAAAAATAACATTTACTTTCTTCTTAATAAATGTGTGTTAAATTCTATTAATAGAAAATTAAATACCCACTACTAGAATTTCATTTTTAGTAAATAATTTTATTTTAAAAAACTATCATTAAATTAAAACTCATTATTATTAATTTATACATTTAATTAAAATAAATGTTTAATTTATTAATATTTTATATTAAAATTAATTTTTATGAAATATTTATAAATAATTTAGTAAAATAAAATTTTGCTAAGTCAATACTTTTAATTTTAAAATGTTATAAATTATCATTCAATTAAAACTCATTATCATTAGTTTTATCATATTTATAAAATTTTATATATTTAATTTAATTTAATTTAAAATTAAAATTAATTATAATAAAATATTTATAAATAATTTAGTAAAATAATATTTTTTAATTAAAAATTTTAATTATTAAACTCATAAATTTAAACATTTTTTTAAATTTTTTTTCTAGATTAAAATTGACAGAAAAATCTACAAAAAAAAAAAAAGTTAACTAAAAACTTTTCCTACCATTTATTATAATACTAATAAATATTTATTGTGAATTTATTTTTGTACGTAAACTTATTTTATCTAATTTTTTGTTCTCTTATATTTTCCACCTAATTAATATATGTCTGTGTATACAGCTGTAGTTCCTTATATGGAAATATCAACCTTCTATTTATATCATATTTTTCTTCCGACTAATTAATGCAAGCAACTGTCATCTTTATTATGTGGTTTGGTATGGAATAAATGCAATTTCTCAGTCTCTCATGACTCACTCTCTCTCTCTTTATATATATATATATCAAAAGACATATTTGACTTTTTCTCTCTCAATATTATCCCATTAGAACAAATACGTCTTTTTTCACTTCAAAATTTAAACTAATCGACTATTCTTATATATATATATATATATATTTTTTTTTTTTTGAGAAGTATAGAGTCTTTGTTATTAAAAAAATGCTAAATGGTAGGATTACTTTTTCATATTGTTTTGTAAGCTCCCTATTTATATTTCGAAAATTTTCACTATTTCTCTAGCACAAATTATGATTGATTATTCTCGTAAAAAGTTATTATTGATCATTATTAGGTAAGATTTATATTATGTATATATTTTTAATAATATTATTTTCCTGATACATTAGTCATCTTGTCATACAAAGATATTATTAAAGACAACTAGCATTTCCCAGTAGTTATTTATCCTTGAAATTTTTGTATAAAAGTTTTTGAACAAATCTCGTTGCTGTTTATATTATATAAATGGTTGAAATCATTCTCATATTAGTAAGGTCACAGTAAAAGTGAAAAATAAATTCAGAGAACCATTATTTTTCAAAAGGTTAAGTATTATCAATACTTAATGGTGAAATTTCAATATATAACAACACATCTTTAATTGTGTTTTCCTTTATCATAATATAAATGAAAAATATACTTCTCCAGCATTATAATATATTTTTTCTTATTAACTAAAATATATGAAATTCAAAAATCATATATATACGGTATTTATTGTATTAAAAATAACACTTACGTGATCTGTAAAATCATAATTAATAATATATGTATCTTATAGTTAAGAGTGTATTAGAAAATAAATTCATAATATTTATTACTAGCATTTTCTCCATTTGATAACCAAGTAAAAGGAATATTATTTCTAATATCTCGCAGGTTTCATTCTCTACACCATACTCAGTTTAGAACAAACTACTCCCTGTTTATGCCACTTTATGACTACATCTATGGCACCACGGACAAGGCTTCAGATAAATTACATGAATCATCATTAAAACGAGAGGAAGAAATTCCAGATGTTGTACACTTAACACATCTCACAACCCCTGAATCCATCTATTATCTTAGGTTTGGATTTGCTTACTTGGCCTCAAAACCTTACACGTCAAAATGGTACCTTTGTTTGATGTGGCCTATAACAGCTTGGTCCATGATCCTTACATGGGTCTATGGTCGTACATTCATTGTTGAGGGAAATCGCTTTGACAAACTTAAGCTGCAAACTTGGGCAATACCCAAATTCAGTCTCCAAGTAATTTATCTAGACTTTCATTCTCTATATTTATTTATTTGATTTAAGTTATTAATTCCAAGGAAGGTTTAAATGTTATTACTATTATTGCATGGGATCATTTGTTTATTATATGCCAATGTGCAAAATAAAGTTCATATAACTATGGGATTTTTTTTGTGTAGTACTTCTTGCAATCTCAAAAAGTGACAATCAACACAATGATAGAGGAAGCAATACTTGATGCGGATAAAAAAAGCATAAAAGTGTTGAGCTTAGGTCTTAGGAATCAAGGAGAGGACCTTAACATCTATGGAAGCTTATATGTTAGTAGGCATCCAAAGTTAAAAGTTAAGATTGTAGATGGTAGTAGCCTTGTGGTTGCTATTGTTCTAAACAACATTCCTAAAGGAACAACTCAAGTATTACTTAGAGGTAAACTCTCTAAGGTTGCTTATGCTCTTGCCTTCACACTGTGTCAACAAGGTGTTCAGGTTAGCTTCTTTAATTTGTATAGAATTAATTTCTTACCAAATAATCATATAAGAAGGCATGCATATTTTAAACATTGCCCTCTTGACTGTATTTCAGGTTGTGACTTTGCATGAGAATGATTACGTGAGGCTCAAAAAGTCATTCACTGGCTCAGAAACCAATTTGGCCTTTACTAAAAGCTACACACAGACGGTAATTAATATATATATGCCAAATTTTTCCTAGCTACACATGTTAAGAATTCACTCTATTTGCTTCATTTTGGTTAATTTGGATAAAAAATAAGAAGAAATTAAAAGGAAAGAAAGCAAAGGGACAAATGATTTTTTCTTCTTCTTGCATTGTATAAATAGAGAAAAAAAGTAAACAAAAAACATTATGCTAAATTCTATTTAAACAAATTTAATATAAAAATAATAATTGACAAGGACATATTTGTAATTTCATTGATTTTCTATTATCTTTCCATGCTTCCTCAGCTTCCAAAAGGTGAAAATTATCAATATACGTCTCTCATGAATACTTTCTTTCTTTGCTTGTTTTGTGCCATTTCAAATCAAAGAAAAATCTCAAGTAATGTTTGGTATAAAAAATATTTTAATATAACTATGAGAAAAACGTTATGAGAATAATATATATATTTTTTCGTTTGGTAGAACTTAAATTAAAAATATTTCTTAGACATAATTTTGTTTAGGAAGTGTTAATTTTTAAATGAAAGTTAAGAGAATTATTTTTACCTCCACAGTAAACATAAAATTCCACATGAAAATGGGGTGTAAAATAATTAAATAACTTATCATTTATTTTAATTCCAAAAACCCGTATTTTTAATCTCATTAGTTGCTATATATTTCGCTTTATTGTAAACAAATTTGTCTTATAAAAATTATATATACAAAATTATGGGATTACATATAGTGACATACAAAAAGTGTTATTATAAGTATAATATATATAGGTATATATCTATTTGACATATAGCTACACACAATTTTAGTGTTAATTTTAAATGAGATTTAACAACATATTTTGTATGTCACTATAGCTTATATCTATACTTTTTAACAATATACTAACATATATTATATTTATTGTATAGGTAAAAATAGTTTTTAGTGACACATATTATCACTATAGGATGTGTGTCACTATATGATAATTTCCTTGTAGTGTTTTCTCTCTATTTTTATGAAACCAACTTTGTCAATAATGACAAACAAGTTTTTTTTTTTTTTTCACCTTTCACCTTTGCTTTTGGATAGACATGGTTAGTAGGAGATGATTTGACTGAAGAAGAACAACTAAAGGCACCCAAAGGAACATTATTTATTCCATATACACAATTTCCACCAAAGAAATATCGCAAGGACTGCTCCTACCATTGCACTCCAGCAATGTTAGCTCCATGCTCCATTGAAAATGTCCACTCTTGTGAGGTTTGTTCATATTATCCTATGGAATTGTTCAATTTATGCATATCAACCTTGTCATCAATTTCCACAAAAAAAAAAAAAAATTGAATTCATTTATTTGGTTACAGGATTGGTTGCCAAGGAGGGTAATGAGTGCATGGCGCATAGCGGGGATAGTACATTGTCTAGAAGGATGGAGTGCACATGAGTGTGGTCACACAATGCATAATGTTGACAAAGTTTGGCATTCAACACTTCAACATGGGTTCCAACCTCTTTCGGTGCCACTCAAAGAATTAGCTCATTATTAATGAGTAGCTATGGGAATATTAATCTGTGTTTGATTTCTCTTTTCTTTTTCTTTTTTCTTTTTAGCTTTTTGGAGGGTATTAATTAATCCATCGTAATTATGGTCATATTTACCTTAAATAAGTTTTTGAAGTGTTTCACTTAGACAAGCAAATGAGTATATTTCATCTAATATATATATCCATATAGCTTCAACACTTTTGGAGGTATTGATATATAAGCACAAGTGGTAACATATTATAAAATATTATATACTTTGCAAAAAAGATGGAGCTAGTAGTTATGGCCCTTTATATACCGTGTCAACGATCTCAGGACGATTGTACATAGTTAAGCACGTTCATGTTTCTTCTCATTTGTGGAACCTTAAAATTCAAGCATGATTGTACATAATGTCAACAGTACTTTCATGCATAGTATCCACATAATTATGCTTTTTCTAATAAGTAGAGACTTGAAATTCAAGCACGGTCATGCATAGAGTCTGCATGGTATGCTTAATCCTCACAATTGGTTTTTTATTCTTAATTGTGCTCCACTAAAGCTACATTTCTATCAAAATTTGGGTAAGTTCTCTTTATCTTGTAATTCATGCCAAACCCTACACTAATATATGGAAAAACATTATTGAAAATCAGCTAAAATTTTCAAATATTAACTCAAACATCACATGCCAAATATATATAAAATAATAAGGGTTTAGGAAACCTCTCTACTCTTGAGCATCACTTGTTCTCAAGCAATTAACCTCCTTCATCCCAAATTTTAAGAAGTCAAATAGATGAACCAACCAAGGAACTTAGAAATTAGAAGCACTAGAAAATTCTACAATGATAAACACTTCAACCTCTACCTAGGGGCAACTCACTGAATGGCCAATTAGATTTGGGACTCTAAAAAATCAATCTCCAATGTAATAAAAACCATTCTATTGCCTACTCTTTAGCATTTTAAGGTAAAGACAAAATTCACTCAATGTCTCTAGAGGAAGTGTATTATACAATAAACTTGTATATCAATCAATTCTAAAAAGCCTACTCCAAAACATGCAAGAGTAAGGGATTTTAAGGGTGTAATATGACTAGGGAATTTACTTTAGGTGGAATAAAGAAAACTAGGTAAACATAAAAAGGGTTAAAATATGAAGATTCAAAAGCAATCCTTAATTTTGTACAAGAGCAAACCTTGGGAATATCATTCTTTTTCATCCATGGCACAATCATTCTCTCTTTTTCCCTCGTCCCCTTGTTCCTATGCCTTTCTATTTTTATTTTAATTAACTTAAAAATATTATTGCATTTTTATTTGTATTTTTAAAAAGCAACACAAACATGAATTACCATTTGATTTAGGATATTTGATTTAGAATCTTCAATTAAGACTTTCTCTTCATTAAATGCTCTTTTTATGCTTTAGAGGGTTGAACTCAAACAAAAGACACATATTAAGGGGTAGAGAAAAGAAATTAATGTAATAAATTGATAATCTAAGCAAACTAGGCAACACATAGAATTTCACAAAGTCTAGTCACCACGTTAGGATGCAACCCATTAGCATATCTGAATGAACAAGAATATTGAAGGCAAGATTCACGGACACAATACAATGTAACTACTAATCAATTGCAATTATCCCATCAATTGTCCAACTTAAGCAATTAAGAGTTATAACAATGTAACACATGAAGTGTAGTACCAAAAAATTAACAAGTAAAAAATAAAAATTCACAGAAGCACAACTAATACAAGTTAAAAGATAATGTGTACTAAATAGGTCCCAGATTTTCATGCTGGGAACTTATTGGTTTTGGGAACTTATTAGTTTTAGGCCAAATATTAAGATACATTCACAACTACACAAGGATCTAGATAGTTCTTGTCTAGATGAAACAAAATATTCCCATAAGCCAAGGAATACTCAGCATGCATTACAAAAAATGTTACATGTAGTGACATACAAAAAGTGTCATTATATGTATAATATATGTAGGTATATACCTATTTGACATATAGCTACATATATAATTTTAGTGTTGATTTGAATGAGATTTAACAACATATTTTGTGTGTCACTATAGTCTATACCTGCACTTTTTAACAATATACCAACATATATTATATTTATTGTGTGGGTAAAAGTAGTTTTTAGTGACACATATTGTGTCACTATAGGGTGTGTGTACTATATATGTGGCAATTTTCTTATAGTGATGTCAGATACATTGTTCTACGATTAAGTGTTGCAGAAAGTAACGTCTGACTGCTACATGGCAATAAAAGGTCTTGAATGAACTTTTAAATGACCATGATCTTAATGATAATATTTTCTCACTTATATATACTTTCATTTCACCTTCAAAAGGTACATTTTTCTTTAGGATGTGCCCGAGCACTCTGAACACCTGCTAACTTAGGCACATCAAAGTCCTTTTTATAAATGTCGGAACCCAGAAAAATTCTGATCTTACTCACAGATGATTTGGACCTCCAGTTTAAAAATCTCATCAACTTCAGAATGCTCGAAGACCAGACTAATCCTCTTTCTAATGATTTTGAAAAAGAGTTCGAAGGAGTCGCCATTGATATTTTACACAAAGCATCAGAAAAAGAAAAGAGTTTTCAAAAACTTCAATTTTGGCCTTCATAGCCAAAGTCGGGTTCAGGGATCGATTACGTGAAAGAAAGGTATTAGACACTCCACAACACCCTAACTCAGTACCCTATGACAAATTTGGCATAATAACAATGTAATTAAGTTTCTACTCTCTTATTTTACTATACATACAATAATTTACATTATCCCTAATTTACAACATGCGTATTACTATATTATCTACATAGTGCCCAATCTATTGCATGCGAGTATAAATATAAATAAAGAAAATAAGTAGAGGGAAAAAGGAAGAGAAAGAGTTTAGAACCTCTGAAGCAAGCTTTTATAAAGCTCTTCATAAATTTTTACAAGGGCACTTTTTGGCAATTTTTCGCTTTACAAAGATCTCACTATCACTCAAAAATTTCAGAGAGGGGAGAAGAATTCTGTTCGTCTGTTAGGTTCAGGAGAATGAGCCTTGGGCACGCTTTTATAGGCATTCAGGGAAGGGGAACGACCATTCTCAACACTGGAATGGCCGTTCCGTGCCTCATTTTTACATAGGATTAGGGTTTTGGGAATGACTACTCTGGGTTGTAAATTTTACATTGAAAATTCTGTTGGGGACGACCGTTCCAATGGTAGGAACGACCATTTCGAGCCTAAATTAGGGTTTTGGCTCTTTTTCATGCAAAAATTTCTTCTAGGCTTTCCAGGCTCCCTCTTGGCCCACTTCCGTGCCTCCCTCGATATCCTTTAGGGCCCCTCTTCTTGCTTTAGAAGTCTCCCAACACTTGCAGGAATAGTCCGAACAAAACCTGTTGTCTACAAAAAATACAACCACCGCTTACAATCTTGAGGAACAAGGACCTTAGATCGAAGATTTTGGATGGATATTTCTCAACAAGTGCATTTGGCGCCCACCATTTAGAAACTTATTCCTACGAGCTCTGCTAACTAGAATAGAGATGGTTGGAGTAAAAGGATAACCAAGTAGGAATCTCAAGACACTAGATAATATTCTCATGTTGACAAATTTTAGAGGGAATTACAACAGTGGCAAAAACATAGGGAACATAATGAGAAATAATAGAAGCGACATGAGGATGAGATGACTCTCCTCAGGCAGAAAAATTCTAAGTTGTGACAATTGATCAAGCAGCCATAGATTAGTACCAAGATCATTACCCCCATCATCGACCCCATCTAAGAGTTGGGTTCATTTGATTCTTCATGTGATTCCACTTTTCCTTCTGGAATGTCAGCAACTGAGGTGCCACAATCTAGGGGTGCTCTAACAACCCAAGCATCTTGACAGACTAGGACATCAATGCAAGTGTCTTGGCTAGTTGGGACATCGTTACCTCACTTTGTTTATATTAGAGGAATTTCGCAAGCACCCCTCATCAATGAGATCATATAGGTACCCCTTCCAAAGGGAACGAAGAACTTGGGGTTGGACAAGTATAATAGGACCAATACTGATGCAATCATGTACTGACTGTTTTGTACTTCTTGTTAACTCCAAATTTTGTCTCCCTGTATAAATCAAAAAAAGTCCAGTCCATACATATTACAAAATATAATACAAATTAAAAGCAAAAAAAAAAAGCAAAAAAACAAACAACGAAACAAAATAGAAAAATAAGAAGAAAAGAAACGTGTTGATCGTATCTTCCGTGAACCCCAACAACTACTCCCCTTCAACTACTCTGTTGCAATTCTACCTTACCACTGCAATCAAGCCACCATGCCCTGCAAAAATCTCAAAAAATTGCCTTTTAACCAGGTCCAAAAGCCATATCCCTAAATTTAGTGATTTTGGCAGAGAAAGATTAATCAAAATAAAAAATCATGTGCCTATAAATACCAGAATACAAGATGAACAAAGGGATGAAAAAAATTAACAGCAACAGAACAGAGAAACCACATAGCTGGGATATAATCTGAAAGAAAAAACTCAAACAAGGAGCACAAGCAGGATCCTCAAAATTGTGGTATCATCTTCACCCACTATTTTTTTTGTACATATAGTAATACTTGTGTGCGCCTCATTGATTTTTTTTATTATTATTATTTGCGAGTAAAGACGAATAAAAAGAAAATACTAACCTCAACTATTTGTTGTCCGTACTGATTTCCAGCAACCATAATGTGTTCTTCCATTTTTTTTTCTTTTTATCTTTTCTCTCTCGCTCACTCTGTCACCTCTTTTTCGCGACCTGTGAGTCTATGGCCAAAACGCAAGGACCACCGTGAGCCACCGCCATTGAAAATGATTTTCGACGGCGTTGTTTGCTTCTTCTTCCTTCCCCAAACAAATCCCCACAAGAATCACCGTGGGTCACCTTCAAAAATGATTTCCAACGGTAACCCCCTTCGAGTTACTTTCTTTCACTGTTGTTCTCCCTTTCCGCTTCACTTGTTAGGCCAACTGCGGTGGTATCGTGTGTTGATCTTCTTCCGGTTAGCACCAGCGCATAGTCTGCGGAGAGAAATTGGAGAGCTCCTCTCATAACCCTAACGTAAGGGTTTCTGCTGGTTTTCCCCAATTTCTGTTTCTGTTTCACGAATTTAGGGTTATTCTTTTTCTTCCTTTTTATTTTTTTATGTAAGCCAAGTCCATTTGATGTGTTATTCTTTAGATGGCCAGATTTTTTGTTTTGTTCTAAGTGCTTTCAACTCACGTATGGGCCTAGCCCATTTATTTATTTTTCTGAAGAAAATAAGGTTTTAGGAGTATGATTTACAATATGTTAAATTTATGTAATTGAGGCTAATAATTATATAAAAAATTAAGGCAATTGATTTTATTTGATTATGTAAAGTTATTATATGTTGAATTTTCACATAATAATGATAATAATGAGAATGATAAAAATTAGTAACTATTCCACAAAATATTGAGAATAATATCTTTTATGAATATTGACAATATATATATTATTAAAAAAAAAAGGATTACTTGAATGTACATTCTCTTAATCTTAGGCCTAATATATGCAAGTTGTAACAATTTGCCATCTAGAAAATGTTATCTAAATTTAACATATATAATCAATAATTAGAATATTATAATTTTTTAATAAAATTATTTGAAGTCATTATTTAAATATTTTAGTGGCAAAAGAAAAATTCCAACACACAAATATTTTCTGCCAAAGAACTACGTGACTCTGATTCTTCATTACGCATGGAGATACGTAGGAGCAGGAAATAACTCCTGTCGAGCCAAAAAATAAAAATAACAATATTATCTCATTTTTAATAATAATAATATAAATAATTTTAGTACTCATTAAAATAAAATAAAGACATTTGTTAAACAATATATTTGATTATTATTGTTAATTCATATTAATGTGGGGTGAGGTAAATATTTTATAAGTTATAATAAATTTGCTTAATTAATTAAAGGTAATCGTCTTAAGGCGAACGTTGTAAGGTGCTAATACCTTCCTTACACGTAATCGACTTCCGAACCCAAAAATCTAATTTTCGTAGACTATTTTCTAATTTATGGTTTTTCCAATGTTTTTCTGTAAAAAACAACATTGGTGGCGACTCCATATTTTTCAACCAATTTTTCTTCGTCCCGTCGCTATATCGGTTGCGACAGATGGCGACTCCACTGGGAAAAATTTTGAGAGTCAAGCCTACAATAATTAATTAAGCAAATTAATAATAAGTTTTAAAATGTTTACCTCACCTTTATTTTTAATAGATATTTTTCCTTATTCATTATTTGTCTTATTTGTATCTATTTGTGTTGGGTATTTGAACTTTAGGGTAGAAGATTTTGTTATATCATGTGTGTTGTTTGTTTCGCAGATTGGGTAGTTTAAGATCACTCCCTTCACACACTTCACCTATACAATTTCACACACGTTTATGAGTGGGGTCCTATGCCCGGACTTGAGTGCAGCTTATGATAAGTAATCTATTCCCTCCATATGGCTTGCCTCCGGGATATATGCCACCAGTGGCTAATAATAATGAGAATAATCCCATTACCTCTGTCTTAAACCCACCGAACCAAACACAACCCCAAGATCCAAACCTTGAAACAAGTGGACCACAAATTCCAACTCAACCTCACATCCAAACGCCTTATACCCATGTACATACACCACCGGTTGACACAACTCAAGTTGGAGGCCCGTCGATCCACCAAAGTGTCGTTCCCACATCAGTTATCATTACACACCCTAGCCAACTCGAGGATAACTCATCTAAAGACAAGATACAATTTTTGGAAGAAAGATTAAGGGCAATTGAGGGAGTTGATCATTATGGACTCAATGCTATTGATTTGTGTCTAGTTCCTGATGTTGTGATCCCTCCTAAATTCAAGATTCCTGAATTCGATAAATATAGAGGGGACACATGCCCAAAGAACCATCTCACCATGTATTGTCGAAAGATGGCCTCATGTGCTCACAATGATAAACTGTTGATCCATTTCTTTCAGGAAAGCCTTATAGGGGCTGCTTTGGGTTGGTACATGAACTTGGAGCGAGGACGAATACATACGTGGAAAGATTTGGTAGAAGCGTTCTTAAAGCACTACAAGTACAACATGGACATGGCCCCAGATCGCACACAACTGCAAAATATGTTGAAGAAAGAGAATGAAACTTTTAAAGAGTATGCCCAGCGTTGGAGAGGAGTGGCTGCTCAAGTACAACCTCCTTTGTCTGAAAAAGAAATGGTCACAATGTTCATTGATACGCTCCAATCACCCTTTTATGATAGGATGATTGGAAACGTATCATCGAACTTCTCAGACCTAGTCGTTATTGGAGAAAGGGTTGAGATGGGAGTACGAACTGGTAAGATTGCTCACTCATCAACAGGATCAATGTACGCAAA